TCATAGCACAGGAATATTGCTTAGCCTAGTTGGCGCTCCTAGAACCTTTTTTTCCCTCCTGATTTGTTTTAGTTGCTTGGGGGCCAACAGTCATAGCAAGGGCCCATTGCACATATTCAGCTGGAGGTAAAAACTTTCTCAAGGGTGTTATTATTTCCAATTCCTTGCCAAATAGCCCCACTTCCATGGTTGCAGAAGTTCCTGGGTGGTGCAAATGGTTACGCTCTCAGCTGCTAACCAAAAGGTTGTCGGAGGTTCGAGTCCACCCAGAGGCATCTCAAAAGAAAGGCCTGGTGATCTACTTGCAAAAAATCAGCCATCAAAAAACCCTGAGAAGCACAGTTCTACTCTGACATACATTGGGTCATCATGAGGCAAAGTCGACTCAATGGCAATGGGTTTGATTTGATTTTTTGGTGGTTGCAGAAGCTTCTGGAAGCCCCTGCCTCTTTAGAAAAGCCCAGCCAAGGCCTCCAGACCTAAGGGATGTTGGAGGCTTGAAGGCCCAGGTAAGGAAAAGAGGTTTCCTCCTGGGGTCTGACCAGTTTCGCTCTAGCTCCGATGAGTCGAGTTAATGTCAGTGGAGCAGTGACATAAGGAGAAGTGCTTCAGCACAGGGAGGGGCCGCTATTTAGGGACAGCTGGCACTCCCAATGAGTCCCCCTCCTATGCAGTAGCACCAAATGAGTTCCAACCTCCATCAGCAGGATTCCCTCCACCTGGCCATCTCCAAGAAGGCTTTGCTGCAGGGTTGCTCAACCACGGCACCGGTGACATTTGAGGCCAGATCATCCTCTGTGGTGGGGGCCGTCCTGTGCACTGCAGGGTGTCGAGCAGCATCCCTGGTCTCCACCCACTAGTCATTCTCTGTGGTGGGGCCATCCTGTGCACTGTAGGGTGTTTAGCAGCAACCCTGGTCTCCACCCACTAGATGCCAGTAGCACCCCCGGAGTTGTGACAACCAAAACTGTCTCCACACATTGCCTTGGAGACAGTAGTGAGAGATTAGCCATTTGCTTAAAGTAGTCCTGAAACTCTCTTCTTCGGGCTCCGTAACTGTAATGTCTGAAGGTTAAGCTGGTTAGGACAGCACTGGGGAAATGGGAATTCAGAAGCTGCCTTTGGCCCCTGCATAAATCGTGCCCTGGCCTGTAACGGTAATTATCACAAAAGAAAGCTGAACCTCAACCCAGAAGGAGGAGCCATCAAATCCAGCAGCGTGAATTAGTGGCATGAAATGTTCTACTTGATTTAAATCAAGTGTTTCAACTTTGATCCCTCTGGGTAGCAGTTCAAGCAAATCCAGTGGATTCTAAATGGCTGGATCTATGCCCAGGAACACAGGTCAGATTTGAGCACCTGGGCTCTTCTGAAATGGCTGCCCAGTCCACGCCCCTGGGGACCACCTAGCAGGGCCTGGTGAGAATCTGGCACCATCGCCCACACTCATTGTTCCTTTCTAGAATGGCTGTTGGGACAATCTCACGCAATTCCCTCAGAGCCACCGAGGCTTTCTGACCTCTAGCCTTCTAGGGACAAACACTTCTCTGGTTCCCGGTGTGGGTTCCCGATGACCCTGGATTCCCGGAGCCCAGAGGATGATCCCAGTCCACCCAGGCAGCCCAGGCTCTCAAGCCACCTCGAGCAGGGATGGCAAAGGGGGTGGGAGCGCATCAAAAACGTGGGCTGGCCTGATGGGGCCTGGCCTGGCTGAAAGCCGAGCAGATGAAAGGCCCGCCGACCAGGATCCCTCGCCAGCACCAGCCTATTGGCATCTGTGTTTGTTTAAAGGACGAGAGCAAGAGAGAGTGAGATTTTGTTGGCTCGACAAACGTTCAGAGCCAACTTCCGCACCCAGCTCTTCACAGGAAAGCCCCGTGGGGCTCTGGGAGGTACGAGCTGGCATTCAGGGCAGTTTCCTGCCTGAGCTGGAAACTCCAATGATAATTGACGTGGGGTCATTATTCTAAAGGAAAGGAGAAACTGATCACAGTGCTTTACATCCCGAGCCCTGGAAATTCAAGGACAGTAGCCATTTAGGGGTTCTCCAAGTGGAGTCCCCCGACTAGCAGCATCAGCATCCCCTGGAAACTTGTTACAAATGCAAATTCTTGGGCCCCACCCAGACCCTGGGGTCAGGAACTCTCCATTTAACAAGCCAGCCAGAAGATTCGGAGGCCTGCTCCAGTTTGAGACCCTCTGAGCTCCTCTGAAGGAGCCCTGGTGGCGCAGTGGTTAAGCACTCGGCTGCTGAGTGGTCGGTGGTTCGAATCCACCAGCAGTTCCAAGGGAGAAAGATGCAATGGTCTGCTCCCATAGATTCCAGCCTTGGAAATCCTATGGGGCAGTTCCACTCTGCCCTACAGGGTCGTTATGCTTCGGAATTGACTCAGCGGGAACAAGGCCCCTTTGAAAGTCACTGCAAGAGGTGGAGTAATTTGGAAAAGGATAGTGGCGATGGTTGCACAACATGACAAAAGTTACCGATGTCACTGGTTGAAATGACAAGTGTTGTGTTATACACATTGTCACCACAATTTCAAAAAAAAAGTCCCCAGAAGAAATGTCTCTAGCCTCAAAGACAAGGACTCATTTGTTTCTTCCCTAGCTTTTGTACCTACCACGAGCAAGATGTCATTCTAGCCACAGTCAGAAGGAAGGCGGCCACTCGTCCTACTGGCTCGGAGTTCCCTGGGTAACTGTGCAAATGTACCCCTAGTGGCCGCCTACCCTGTTAGCAGGAAAGCGGAAGAAGCTGAATGAATAAGGAGTGCCCATCTGGCTACTCCAGGGCATCCAGCGAGGGCATTCAGGGCCGGACTGTTCTTGGCTGGGCTGCTGTCAGGTGCATTGTACGGTGTTTAGCAGCCTCCCTGGCCTTGGCCCACTAGATGCCAAGAGTTGTTGTTGGGTGCCATCGAGTTGATTCCAACTCACAGTGACCCCATGTGACAGAGCAGAATTGCCCCACAGGGTTTTCTACGCTGTGGTCTTCATGGAAGGAGCCCTGGTGACGCAGTGGTTAAGCACTCAGCTGCTAACCGAAAGTTCGGCGGTTTGAACCCACCAGCAGTTCCACAGGAGAAAGCTGTGGCAGTCAGCTTCGTAAAGATTCCAGCCTTGGAAACCCTAGAGGCCAGTTCTACTCGACGCTAACAGGCTTGGCTGGGTAATCTTTACGGAAGCCGAACACTAGGTCCTTTCTCCTGCCCAGCGGCTGGCAGGTTCGGACCGCTGACCTTTTGGTTAGTAGCTGAGCGCTTAACTATTGTATCACCAGGGCTCCAGAGGCCAACAGTACCCTCTCTCATTTGGGACAACCAACGTTGCCTCCAGACACTGTCAAATGTCCCAAGGGCCAAAATCACATCGGTGGAAAACTGCTCGGTTGAACCACAGTATGCTGGCTCTGGAAACATAAGCTCCATTAGATAGTTAAGCTTCTGGATTCTATAAAGGCCTAAACTACACAGGACCCCAATGTCTTCACAACCTAGACCCAACTCCTGCCCCCAGGCTATAAAGGAATACAGTGGGCAGAAACCCTAGGTTCCAGGCCACCCTGCCTTAACCAACCCCCTCCTCCAACTGAACTTCCGAGGCTTTGGGATTTGTGCAGGCCTCAGTGACTAAGGACATCTATCAACAACAACCACGCCAAAAGAAGGGCCCTGGGGTGCTAGCGCTGCCATGAGCTTTGACCTCGTGTGTCCTCCACACGGCTGGTTTGTTCTGAAGCTGTGAATACGTTCCAAACAGACTGATATAAACCAAAAAATTAAACTTGTTACTGTCGAGTCGATTCCGACTCATAGTGACCCTATAGGACAGAGCAGAACTGCCCCATAGGGTTTCCAAGGAGCAGCTGGTGGATTCGAACTGCTGACCTTTTGGTGAGCAGCTGAGCTCTTAACCACTACGCCACCAGACTGATACAGTAGAGGACAATTTGAGCAGAACGCAAATTTTACATTTGCTCATGCTTGATTTCTAAGCACAGAAAGCTGCCCCCAGCTGTACCCAGAGGTATAGGAACACAGAAGACACACACACACACACACACACACACACACACACACACACACACACACACACACACCCTCAAATCTACTGGGTTGCCCTGGTATGTTAGAAGCCACGCCCAGCCACATCTGGGGTGAGACCTTTCCCTCTGATCTCAGATCACCCGCTTTCTGCCCCCTCACACTAACTCAAAGCTGCAGCCCTTCCGACCCCCACGTCCACGCCTCATTTATTCTAGCATTTATATAGTTCTTAACCATTTAACAAGTGTCAAACAGCACTATCATTTTTATTAGGGTCCTATCTTTTTTTTTTAATGTGTTACTGACAACATGTTGGAGTGTTGCATACCTAACCCCATTGTTCCCACCAGCACTGTGGTTTTTGTTACACGTGTTTGCCTAGTGATTGATTTTGAGGACTGCATAAGTAGCATAAGGAGCCCTGGTGGTGCTTAAGCGCTCGGCTGCTAACTGAAAGGTCAGTGGTTCGAACCCGCCAGCGGCTCCACGGGAGAAAGATGTTGACAGTCTGCTTCAGTAAAGATTCACAGCCTTGGAAACCCCATGGGGCAGTTCTACCTCTGTCCTACAGGGTCGTTATGAGTCAGAATCGACTCCACAGCAATGGGTTTGGTTTGTTTGTTTGTTTTATAAAGCGCATAATAGAGGAACTGGCTGTACCTTCTCCCCGAGCCCAGTACCATGTGGGTGGTAAAAAGGCACCCCCAACCTCTTCTCCTCTGGCTCCTCCCCATTTTGACTCAACGTGCAGAGTCAGCCCAGGAGCAGTTCTACCTGGAAGCCTCTCCCCCATTCCAGGGCCACACTCGACGCTTCTGTTCTGCCTTCCCAAAGCCCCGTCCGCTCCCTTCTCAATGTGCTCCCCACAACTTATTGACACCATCTGTCAAGGACTGGTCCCCCCAGTGGACCGAGAACTCCTCATGTTCCATCAACACGTGCCCAGCCACTCACCCGCTCCGTGTCACCAGGCACTGCCGGAGCCCCAGTTTCCGGAAGATGTCCACCACCGTCTCCATGGGGGTGTGGTCCGTGACCGTGAAGGGGCTGAGGTTCAGGATGCGCCGCAGCTTCAGGGGGTGCGGGCTGTTGGCCGGCAGCTCGGGGGGCTCCTCAGTGAAGTACATGATGGAGTTGCTCACGATGCCCTCCTGCCTCTGTCTGGCGTTCTCTAGATTGGAGTCAACAGAACAATAAGTCATATGAAAATCCCTTTCCTAGCAACTCCCCCCACCCATACCCACACACGCACATGTATGTCTTCCCTCCACCAGCATTCTAGAATCCTACGGAAAAGGGGTTCAGAGGGCAAACTGCACACTCTTAATGAGGGGCTTCAGCCAAACACCTGCACAATCTGAATCTCTCTTGAGCTACTGCTATATGAGTTTCCCCCTGCTAGGACCGGATCATTATCTGCCGAAGTCTGAAGTCTGGGGCCTACTCAAGATGGCTCCTGTGAGGGAATTCACTTGCTGCTTCCCTCCTGGACTCCAGGGCACCCAAACGGCTCAAGGCTCTTCACGTTTTCTTTCCTAAGACTCCCTCACCTCATCATGGCCTGAAGTTTGACATGACAAGACACCTCACTTAGCTGCCCAATGACCTCAAGACATTGTTTTCACAAACTAACTCCTAGCTCACCCAAACGGCACTATGAATCCTGAGAGGAACAAGGCACCAATAGGACCAGCCCAGGCTCCCAGCCCAGAAATGCAGCTCAGTCCCAAATCTGACTATTGGGACCAAAGAAATATCCCTAGAAAAGCTACTTTTCCCCTCCCCCCATCCTTGGATCTCCTCTCTTAAAAGTGGGCCATTTTGTGGACGTCTCAAGAAAGATAGTAAAACGGTTATGGTAACAATTAGCCTATTTCTGTCTGTAGCGAAGGCCATGTGAAAGAAAGCTAAAGAAAAGTAGGGTAACAGGAACTCATTAGAAATACAGCTTAATGCAGTGCTAGAAACCCAGGCTATTTTAAGTCACACATGAAATAAATCCATTGGTCTCAAGATATTTCTCCAAGGCGATTTTCCTCCTGTTGGAATTTTAATCTTTCTTTTGGTTCATGGGAAAAGGTTAGGGAAAAATGTACAGTGAGGCTTGCCTTAAAATGCATCCTGGTTTCTAGAAGACATTTTTTGCCTTCTCATAGACGACTATTCACCTATATTGTTCTTTCAAAAATAAAATTCTAACTGCCTCCTCCAAGGCCATTTATTGCAAGAGAATAGTCTAATGGAAAACTGGCAGCATTTGGGATCAGGCTGAGTCTAAAAAAGGGTCTCTGTTTAAAAGAGGAACCAAGGGCCCGCTAGGCAAATGCCTACACATTAATGTGGGTCAGGTTAAATTGAGTTACATCAAATGGGATGTGATTAAACTACAGATAGAGACGACACTGGTACACAATATGTTTTCAAAGGTAGACGCTGTACGATACACACTGCACACTTCTTTCCAAAATCAAGATGTTTCCGTCCTTAAGCACTAAGACTGGGAAGCAACAGTCAATACACACTTGCTTGCTCATTTTCCTAGACTGATTGATTCTCTAAAAATCCCACAGAACAGGAATTCCACCCGTTTCAACAATCAGGTTGAACATTGGGCTTGGAGGGGTCACAAATCTCAATCTAGACTGATCACGTGGATTTGCTGAACACCTTATAAAACCGTATACAACTTAGTGAACTGTGAATCCACTTGTTAAAATAAATAGCAAGCTTCTATTTCCTCTGAATCTACTGATGGGGTTTGAAGCTCTAATAGCAGCTAACTCAGTGAACTCTTACTCATCAAGCAATCCCAGTGCCTGGACAATGTCTAGCACACAGTAGACACTAAACAGATACTCGTCAAATGCATGCATGAATCTACACATCAACAAGTGAATGAACGAATGAGCAGGTCTACTGAACGTCAGCATATCTGTTCTGCCTGCCATATGGAACGGAGTCCATTTCACAGAGGAGGCATTAGGAAGGAAAGCGCTTCCGAGGAAAGTCACTGCCAAGCAAGGGCCATAGGGATCTTCTGGGCTCACAGCTGGAGATCTGAGCTGGGCTCCTTGCTACTCCAAGAGTGGCAACTACTACCCTCTCCAGAAGGGCTCTGCTAGGCCAATTTGGAACTCTATTATAAAGACTTAAGGCTTCAAACTTTGAGGGTGGAAGTGCTATCTACTGGCCAAAAGTTGGTGAGTGGAAGAAGAACCAGAAAGCAAGTTCTTTGCATCCCTCTACTAGGGTGAACCATCTACTCCCAGTTTGGACCAGAAATATTTATCAGTCACCAAAATGCCCGTAATAAGACTACAGAATGTAAGTTCACAGAGGGCAGAGACTGTCTACTGTCATCGCTGTATTCCCAGTCCCTAGGATAGTACTAGGAGTCCCTGGGTGGCGCAAACAGTTAAGCGCTCAACTACCAGCCAAAAGGCTGGCAGTTCAAATCCACTCAGAGGTGCCTTGGGAGACAAGCCCAGCGATCTGCTTCCAAAAGATCACAGCCTTGAAAATCCTACACACATGGGGTTGCCGTGAGTCGGAGCCAACTCGGCAGCAACTAACAACAACAGGAGAGTACTGGTACGTGATGGATGCTCAAGAAAGGATAAAGCAACTACCTACCCAGAAGATGATGCAGTGCTACCAAGGCAGAGACTCACAAACCCCAAGAGCTCTTGGGAGCCACGTTGGAAAAGAAAACAAGAAATACAGACTGAAATGTACGTTTCAAAGGATCTAAAAGATAGGAAAGAAATGCACTGAAATATTAACCAGGGCCTCCTTTGGATGCTGAGCATGTGGGTCACAATTTGTATTTTTTCTTTTGCTTCAGATTTCCACAATATTCTGTGCGTTATGTATCACTTTTGCTTAAAAAAATGCAATAAGTTTCAGTTTTAAATGTTTTAAAATTTAAGTAGTTAAACTGTTTTTAAAACTCTTTAATGTAGGAGGTTTGTTGTATATTCTACTAGAACTAGGATCGGTAGCAGCACTTTATGAGTACCTGCTGAGGTTATTCAATCTGGCATTCCACTCTCTAGCAGTGTTATGTTCACAATGTCAGATGTAGAAAGGATAATTAACACAGTGTTGGTAAGATGAATTTCACAAATTATGATAGGCCAAGGCGTTTTAAAAGATCGGAAATAATCACGCATCTGATGAACTATTAGAATTGCTTTCCGACCAATGGTTCTCAGTTGTGGGCGATTGTGCCCCCGAGGGACATTTGGCCATGTCTGGATACATTTTTTGGTTGTCAGCACTTGGGAAAGGGGGTTGCTACTGGCCTCTAGTGGGTGGAGAACAGAGATGCTGCTCAACATCCTACAATACACAGGAAAGTCCTCCCCACACACACAAAATGATCTGACCCCAAATGTCAATGGTATTGACGTTGAGAAACCCTATTTTAGGGTAGTTATACTTTTAAGGATGCAATACTCTCATCCTGTTAATTAAAACTGCTTCCATAAGACAAGCGTAATTAATATGGAAGCAACCACAGTGGTGGTCAGTACCGAGATGAAATAGTAAAGATTATGTAGAAGAAAAAGGCAGATTATTTTATGACAAGTTATAGTTCAGTAAGGCATGGAGAGGCCCCTCCTCATGTACGTCTAACATCCCAAGCAGAAAGGCAGAGGTGACACCACTGTTCTCCGTGGACTGTTCCGATATTGAACAGCGCCCCCCCCCCAGGCAGAAACCCCTTCATCCCTAGCCTAAATATCTGGCCTACAGATCAGACACCTCTCTTCTTGTTCCAACCTGGATGGAAATCCCTTTCTGTATCTTCCACATGCTGGAGAATCATCATTAAGTCGTCCACTGGACGAACAAAATCAGAGTTCTCTAACTCTGCCCTGTAACTCTAACTTTCCATCCCTTTAATCAACTCGGCGGCTTCCCACGGAGTCCTTTTGGAGTCCCCACTCGCTTAATTGCACAATTCAAGACAAGAGGAGTCTGGCTGTGCTAAGTACAGAAAAGAGCCTCGTATTAGCAAACAGCAACGAGATGTAAAGTCTCATTGACCAGGGATTTGAACAAGGGTCTCAAACGGCCCCATGTGTTAATATGTGATGGCACAGAGAGCCACATTGCTCGGTGGTGCTAACTAATTGCTCTCGAACAAAGACAACGGCTATGGTTTGGTATCCAGAGATGGATTTGAAAAAAAGAAAACCATTTTGGCTTCAGTGTAAGCAGCTGTTACAATTTTAAACACAATGAGTAACAAAAAGCCTTCTTTACCTCATTTTCCCTTCTTTTCTTGCCCAAATCATGTTGGAGGCTTTCACGTTTGCTCCCAATTCCCCTGAAAATGAACTTGGCATGGGATAGCTACCAGCTAAATGCTAATGGTTTATTTCTATATTCATGAAAGGTCATATAATTCCACAGACACAGGTCATCGACCAGAGTACGGAGATTCTTCTATTTCCATGGATCAGGAAAACAGCTTTCCTGATTGCTCAGAGCTAAAACTCCTTGCCTTTCCACAAACCACATAACCCTATAGCAGCTACTATACTATTATCGGCTGATTGAAAGCATATAGGTATTATTTACACCGCGTGTTGCCTCTCCAGACATTCCAAACATAGCTTCTAGAAGATGCTCCGTTGGCAAGTTGAACATTATTCTCTAACAGGTTGATGACAATTACTGCTTCCCACTTGATTACAGTAATGGTTTGCAGTAATTAGTAAGCTCCCTCTTAGCAGGTGTGCCGGGAGCAACACAATAGGTAATAGATGCCTTGACATTTATTACCTTTCGTTTTTAAATTTCAACCTTTGCTTAAAAGATTTTAGGGCATGAATACATTTTCTAAAGGCTGCTGATTAAATTATTTTAAAACAGACCCAACCCTACTTATACAGCTTTTTAAAAAACCTTATTATTGACAGAAATATTGATGCCTTTGAATTATGGTGTTGGCAAAGAATACTGAATATACCATGGACTGCCAGAAGAACCAACAAATCTGTCTTGGAGGAAGTACAGCCAGAATGCTCCTTGGAAGTGAGGATGGCAAGACTTCATCTGGCTTACTTTGGACATATTATCAGGAGGGACCAATCCCTAGAGAAGGATATCATGCTTGGTAAAGTAGAGGGTCATCAAAAAAGAGGAAGACCCTCAACGAGATGGATTGACATAGTGGCTGCAACAATGGGCTCAAGCATAATGATTGTGAGGATGGTGCAGGACTGGGCAGGGTTTCATTCTGTTGTACACAGGGTTGCCAGGAGTCGGAACCAACTCAAACAACAACACAACAATCTTTATGAGGGCAGATCGCCAGGTCTTTTCTCCCGTGCAGTGGCTGGTGGGTTCGAACTGCTGACCTTCTGGGCCAGCGCCACAGAGGCTCCTGAAGATAGTTTAAAGATATTTAAAAATCTATTTAACATTGGGAAGAGGTTCTGTAGACTCAAAGGAACAGCCTTAGAAACAGGCAGCCCAGGAAAGGAACAAACAGTCATCTGGCCCAGGTGTGTTCATGGTGGGGCTATTTGCAATCACACGGCGAGAGGTCCACTGACGAGCTGCATCAATACTCTGGAAGAGCTCATCAAATCTTCCAGTGCACATGAGCCCTGTCATGGCCCCCATGCCCCCCCCCCAACCTAAATGGGATGCTGGTCCCACCCCTGTGACATCAGGAGTTGGGCAGGACCCACCCAGAGCCCCCTGGGACTCACTGCTCCTCTTGCCTGAGGCTCCCAACAACCCTCACAGCCCTGGCCCCCGGCCCTTATCTCTGGCATCCTCCCTCCCACTGCCCCCCTTCCAACGCACCATCCCAGGCTGACGGTGCTGTGGGCTTGCTTCTCCGAGCCCCCTGTCTTTGGGATGCCCCACCTGGGCCTCATCCCAAATCAACAGCTGCCCCTCAGTATGGCTCATCTCAGCTAGACCATGAGGGGGAACACAATCCCTTGGAACTGACTTCCAGCGACGACGTCTGCTCATGACCCCAGATGGGCCTCTGACTGGTGGAAATGGACGGAACAAGTGTTTATGAGAAATGCAGAGTCTCAGGCCTTACCCTGGCCTACCGACTCAGAACCTGCATTTTAACTGGATCTCCTAGTGATACAAATAGACACTAATGCTTGAGAGGCCCGGGCTTCAAGGCCACTGATCTTTTTTACATTCTCTTTAACTTCTTGGAGAATTAGGAGGCTGCCTCTCACCTCTCCGTAAAACACGGCCATCCCCTCTTTACTCACTTATCGCGAGGATCAGTTCTCTCCTCTGGGCAAATCCAATGAGGCGCTCGGAGTCTCTGGAGACCACCACGGGGAAGCCGTTGTAGTCGGTCTCCTTAATAAGCGTCTCCACGTCCTCGACAGTCATGCTGTCCTGCGTGAGCACGGACAGCGGCGGCTCCCCGCGCCGGGGTCGCATGACGTCGGTGGCCAGCGTGCGGTGGGTGAACTCGTCCTTCACATCCAGAAACGGGTACCCATTTAGGTGGATGTGGGCCTCGTAGATGCCTTCTTTCCCAAAGGCATCAGCCACCCACTTGCTGGTCACGGCTGCCGCCATCAGGGGCACGATGTACTCGAGGCCACCCGTTAATTCAAACATGATGACCACCAGCGACACTGTCATCCTGGTGACTCCGCCTGCAACGGGAGAGAGGAGGAACCCCAAGCTCAGCCGCGGACCGTCCTGAGGGTGTGGACTGTGGCCAAACCCATTGCCGTCGAAGTCAATTTGGACTCATAGCAACCCTATAGGACAGAGTAGAACTGCCCCATAGGGTTTCCAAGGAGTGGCTGGTGGATTCGAACTGCTGACCTTTGGTTAGCAGCCGAGCTCTTAACCACTGCGCCACCAGAGGAGGGGGCTGTAAAGTCCCCACATACTTGCTCTAAGGAGAGTCCTAAATGTCACCCATGCTGGCCCTCTGGAACAGACCAGGCCCTGTTAAGTGTGGCCTTCCACCAAACCCTATCCAACTCCATTGCCGTCAAGTTGACTCCAACTCAAAGTGACCCCATTGTTAGAGTAGAACCGCCCCATAGGGTTTTCTTGGCTGTCATCTTTACACAGAAGCAGACTGCCAGGCCTTTCTTCTGCGGTGCCACTGGGTGGGTTTGAACTGCCAACCTTTTGGTTAGTAGTCGAACGCAAACCGTTTGTGTCACCCAGGGACCTGACCTTCCACCAGAGAACTGTAAATCACATCCAACTGGGTGGCCCTGCTCTACTGAGGGACCCTGGGTTGTCGATTCACCCAGAGCCCTACTAGGCGCTGTTTAGTGAGTGGCTGCTCCGTGGGTTGGGCAGGCTTCTGACTCCTCACGTGGGGCTCTCCTCCAGACGCCCATAAGCTGGCCAATCATAGCAACCCTTAGGGCTATAAAGAGCTGACGCACCCACCCTTGTTACCAGGGTCCTTGTGTCCCTTGATAGGCAAGGGAGAATAGAATCGGTACCCACTCCCGTTCTTCCAGTGTGGTTAAAGCAGGGCTTCTCAACCTTGGCACTAGTGACATTTGAGGCCAGATCATTCTCTGTGTGTGGGTTTGCAGCGGGGTGGGGGAGCTATCCTGTGCACTATAGGATGTTTAGCAGTATCCCTGGCCTCTACCTACTAGATCCTAGTAGCATACCCTGCTCTCAGTTGTGAAAACTAAAAATGTTTCCAGACACTGTGAAATGTCTCTAAACCTGATGTCAACAACTCGATTCCAACTCATAGCGACCCCAAATGACAGAGTAGAACTGCCCCATAGGGTCTGCAAGGAGCAGCTGGTGGATTCGAACTGCCAACCTTTTGGTTAGCAGCCGAGCTCTTAACCACCGCGCCATCAGGTCCCTAGGGGACAAAATTGTCCCTAGGTGAGAACTACTGTTCTAGATGGTACAGCTACAAGATGGTGGTGCCTCCATTAGCCTGGGTCCCTGAATGACTGGGTGGAGAAAAGCCTTACATGATATTACATATGTATACCATGAACAAAAAGCAAGCCTTTGGTGTGTTAAGGCACTGAGATTTAAGGGCTTACCTGTTACACAGCACAACCTGGCCCACTCGGAGCAATGCACATGCTCACGTCCTTGCCCACCGTCTAAGCCAGACCAGCCTCTCCTTGCGCCCCCTCCCCCCGCCCAACGGGGTTATACCTAGGCAGGCGGCAGCTCCCACCATTGCATAGAGCCCCGGGGTGACGCAGTCCGCTCCGGGCCGGCACCAGTTTCGGAAGATGATCCAGTCATGGTGGTGGTAAGCCAGCTGCTCCACACCGATGCCCACCATCCTGCCGGCCATCGCCCCCACTGCCATGCTGGGGATGAAGAGACCCGATGGGATCTTGAGGGGGCACACAGAGAAAAGCCACATGAGGGAAGGGGTCCCACTGCCCGCTTCACAAAGCCCAGCAAACACAGTCCCCTGACAAGCTGGCTCTGCACTCCGTCTTCCCAGGAGGCACAGCTCATCCACACAGGCCATCTGGGCAGAGGGGCCCTGATGCTCCCTGCTGCGGCCGCCAAGTCTCCTGTGACTCGGGGAGAAGCCACTCTACACTTCCATTTCCTTGCCTTCAAAAGCTAGCCTGTTTTGCCCGCTGTGGATTAAAGAATCATCAATCCCACTGCAAAGCACATTCGGAGTGAGACTGTCACTTGGGAGACTCGCCACTTTCTCTCTCCCCTTGCCGCACCGTTCAGATTGCCTTTGGAAATGAAACGTCGAGCCACAGCAGGAGAACAGAAAAGGAAGGCCTGCGAGGGCTCCTAGGTCAAATAAAGGCGCTGACTGCATCATCGCAGCCGCCACAGAATGGTCAAGAAGCTTTCTAAGGACTGAGGTTGTTGTTCGTTGCCGTTGAGTCGATTGTGACTCACGGAGATCCCATGTGCTGACTGCCCTCTTTACGGGGGCTGGCACCTCTCTAAGTGAGGGGAGGGAGGTGGCTGTCTCTTTCTAGCAAGCCCACTTTCCTGAACATTTTAGAGCCAGCTTACAGGTACCAAAGAAATAGACCATGTCAACGAAAAGGTACTGGTAGTACCGTGTTTTATATTTTTCTGGATGCAAATACATTTTAAGGAGCCTTGGTGGTGCAACGGTTAAGCGCTCAGCTGCCAACCAAAAAGTCAGTGGTTCAAACCCACCAGTGGCTCCTCGGGAGAAAGACCTCAGGATCTGCTCCCATGAAGATTACAGCTTAGGAAATCCAGTGGGGGCAGTTCTGTTCTGTCACATGGGGTCACTATGAGTCACTCAACGGCACCCTACAACAACATTCTAGTTTATTGATTGGTCATCCATGTGCCAGAGAACATGCTTGACCCACCGTGCTCACTGAGATTACACGGGAGGCTGGTCCTGAACGGCAGCTCCATTTATGCCTGCCCCCAGACGGGCACCGATTTGAGGATGGAAGTAGGCCTTTCACCTAATTATGGAAGTTAAATTTGCATCCTCATGTGTGATGTCCAGAGCTTGGGACAATCCTTAGGAAGTTGTACCTTTCAGAGCTGCCCCTTATTCCATAGCTGCTTAATCCCCTCTTAAGAACAGACTTTCCCTCCATGAACAATTGCCTCCTTTGCCAGGACACCAGAAGAACTGGATGGTGCCTGGCTACCATTACTGAACATTTGGATCAAAGATTCCATGGACGAATCCTGATCAAAAGTGGAAAATGCAGAACAGAATTTCAAATTCTCATGGATTCCAGACTTCCTGGAGCCATGAAGGTTGGCTGAACCCCTGAAACTATTATCCTGACATAATCGTTAAACCTTAAACCAAAAATATCCCCTGAAGTCATCTTAAAACTGAGCAATAGTTTAGCTTAACTAGTAAAGATTGTCTGCCTTGAGCATTGTGCACTTTCAAGAACTATCTATACGGAATCAAACTGACAACAGCAACTCGAAAGATTAGATAGGAACCTTAGGGGGCAGTGAGGGAGGAACAACTCAGAAAAGAAGGGTGAGAATGGTTGCACAACTCACAGAATGTCACTAAATTGTACATGTAGAAACTGTTGAACGGTGTATGTTTTGCTGTGTATATTCTCAACAACAACAAAATAAATTACATATTAAAAAAAAGAATAGACTTTCTCCAGAAAGCTCCAAAAGATGCTGTTAGCACCTTCCACAGACACAAAAATAACACCCTTGACTAGGCGATGACCGACCGTAAAGTCAGCTGGTTCATAAGGTCCACCGGTCCTTGTTCTTAAACCAAACGTTCAGGTTTGCATTTGACCACCACACACTCAGGTACACAGTTTCTCAGACTTTTTAAAAAGAAACAATAGTAATGGGACACCACGGGGTTCCAGGGGGCTGGTAACGTTCTGCTTCTGATCACAGTAGGGGCACATGAGCATGTGTGTTCTCTGAAAATTCATCATGCCGTATAGCTCTCTGTATGACCAATTTGAATTAAGTCTTTGTTAAAAAAAAAAAAATCAATAATAGTAGCATTATTCACAATAGCCAAAGGGGGAAAAAAACATAAACATCCATCAACTGATGAATGGATCAACAAAACCTGGTCTACCCATGCAATGGAGTATTATTCAGCCATAAAGAGAAATGAAGTCCTACTGCATTCTGTATCATGGATGAACCTTGAAAACTTTATGCAATGAAGTGAAATAAGTCAGACACAAAGGGACAAATATTGTATGATTTAACTGACATGAAATATCTAGAATAGGCAAATGCATACAGACAGAAAGTCTATGACTGGTGACCAGGGGCTGGGGAAGAGGAAATGGGGAGTGACTGCTAATGGTTACAGGGTTTGGGGTGATGAGAATGTTCTGGAACTAGATAGAGGTGGGGCCTGCATAACATTGTGAATGTACTCAGTTGCACTGAATTGCTCACTTTAAGAGTTGTTAAGTGTGTGTTATGTGAATTTCACCTCAACTTTAAAAAAGCAGTAACTCAATGCCAGTTTCCATAAGAGAACGTTCTGTAGGAAAGGCTTTCGAAGAATGTCTGAACTGATTTAGCATAGTGTTCAATCATATCCATTTAAAAAGGAACTGTCCTTTCGCTGGCTTTAGTAACAAGAATCACGAAAGGCGCCCTGCCCTCTAGAGCGGGCCAGGGCACTCCCCGTCCGGAGAGAACGAGGGCCCGGACCGCATCTGCGATGCCCAGCCAGGCTCAGCTCACGTCCTCCAGTCAGGGGGCTCTGCCCGTGGCCTTCTGTCCCAGGAGCTGGTGCCTTTCCAAGGCCAGCGCTGTGTTGGGGTCTGTATCCCTAGACTTAGCACGGTACCTAGGATGCAGCTGAGGCTCACAGCATGTCTATGGATCCGAACCCGGGATTTTCCCACCAGCCAACAGATGAACCTGGATGACCACCTGCCCTGGGAATGTGATCGAGTGGCTTCGGTTACTGCCTCTACCCGCCACAAGCTGTGGGTCTGAGCAAGCCGCTTCAGCTCTCGGAACCTTCGCTTCCTTGCTTGTAAAATGGGATTAAAATCTCTATTTCATGTTTCACAGGCTTGTTGTGACAACTAAAAGAAATCAAGAATTTCAAGGGCCAGAAACAGGAGAAAATTCAGTCACGGTCAGCTCCCCTTCTCCTCCCATCAATTTTATTTTGGAAAGTAGACTGCTATGCCCAGAAGGACAGGGGTCCCCCCCATCTCTTCCCCTTCACTCACCTTCATACCAAAGGTGAATATGGTAATGACAATTTTGAAGACAAGCGCCAGGGCCAGCTGCCACATGGCCGTGTATACCCCAAGCCCGGCTGGCCGGTCAGGAATGTCGTCCACAGGCCTGGTCATGTTGGGGTCATTGATGTAGTCACAGAGCTGGGAGGACTCAAGGGCACCGCAGTCATTGAACAGCTCGGAAATGAGCTCGCTGGTGCTCTGGCGTGTGTAAGGGTTCGGGTAGGCAATGATGGTGGTGATGGCGGTGACCACGATGACCTCCAGCACCGGGTACTTCCCCAGCTTGGTGGTTTTACGCCTCCGGCACCAGGCGATGTTACAGCGGATGAAGAGGGTTCCCCACAAGCCCCCAAAGACCCCCAGCAGGATGAAGGGGAAGAGTTCAGCCATGTACCAGGGGGTGTGATATTCCACATAGAAGAGGACAAGGCGGCTGTTGCCAAAGGGGTTGATGGATCGCAGTGTGAAGGCCGCCACTAGGGCCGCAAAAAACGACCTCCACAAGGTCTTCAAGGGGAAGTAGTAACTGACCTGGGGGAACAGATGGAACGTTAGACTCTGTCCAGAGAAGGAGGTGCTCTGAGCCCCAGCCCAACTTGTCGGCAGCCACCTGCTGGCCATGGCACCAAAGACACACTCTAAGAGCAAAGGATGGTGGGAATAACTTCATCAATCTAGGTTTACTTCTGACCGAAATGCATCCACAAGAATATTTAGAGGACTCTAAGTGTCTCTGAAAGTGGAATGCATATGAATCAAGGTGGGCTTGAGCTGTTTTGTTTTAAGAGAAATGAAAGTATTTAATCATAATTTTGTTTATGGCACAGAGACCCTCCTAAAAGCACAGGAGCCTCTGGATTTGATTCTACAGCCAACAAAATAGACCAGGGGTTGGCAAACTGCCAACGCTTCCCCACCAAATGTTTTTGTACGACTCACACACTAAGAATGGCTTTTATATTTTTAAATAGTTTTTTAAAAAAGAATACTTTGTGACATGTGAAAATTACATAAAATTCACATTTCAGTGTCCATAAATAAAGTTTTATTGGAACACATCCATGCCCATTCGTTTACGTATCGTCTATGGCTGCTCTTCACGCCACAATGGCAGAGTTAAGTAGTTGTGACAGAAATGCACAGCTTGCCTAAAAGATTTATTAGCTGGCTTTTTACAGAAAAAGTCTGCCAACCTCTGGAATAAAGCCATTTGAGTTGCCAAAAACAAAAACGCTTAATTGAATATGAGGAAAACAGCGAACACGAAATCTTCAAAAAAATCATATTAGCAGTTTTTAAAACAATACTTACGAAGAGATATTCAATGGCAGACATCGTGGTTCCTTAATGAATGGCAGGGATCTCAGCAAACCCTTCTCTGAATCTAGGCCCCCAAGAGTTACAGTGGAAACCCCCTGCTGTGCCCACCATCCAACTATTCCTTGCTCCTCAAAACCACTAATTCCGAAAAGGTGGAAACAACCTAAATGTCTGTCAATGGATGAACGGATAAACAAAATGTGATCCACGCACACAGCAGAATATTATGAGAAATGGAGTCCTGATATGTGTTGCAACGTGGATGAACCTTGAAAACCTTATGCTGAGTGAGACAAGCCAATCACAAAAGGATAAACATTGTATGCTCTCACTTCTATGAAATAACAAGAATGGGCAAACGTATAGAGACTAAAGTTTATTAGTGGTGACCGGGGCGGGGGACGGGGAGAGGAGTTGTTGTTCAGGGAGGTGAGCGTTTATGGTGATGGGAAATTTGGCAACGATTATGGGTGACAGTTGCACAACATGATTAATGTGATTGAGATCACTACATTGTACACCTGAAAAATGCTGAGTTGGCAAATGTGTCAATAAAACAAAACTGGCAAATGTGTTATTTAAGGGGAAAAAAAAAGCAAACCCCCCCACAAATCCCCTCAGCACCCACTCTCACCTCCTCCAGGCTGAAAAGCACACCTCCAATTGGGGCGCCAAAGGCCACAGAGACTCCAGCGGCGGCAGCAGCTGAAAGTACCTATAAGGCAAACCATTCAGTGTAAGCCCGCATCCTTTCCTGTAAAGAACCAGGAGCAGGCAGGGCTGGCGAGGGGCTGTGGGTAGATCTGAGCCGGCTCACCTCGCGCCTCTTGCCCTCATTCTTGCTGTACTTGGAGAAAAGGCTACTGAAGAAGTTGCCACAGCAACAAGCCACGTGCACCAAGGGCCCTTCCTTGCCGAGGCTCAGGCCAGAGGACACGACCAGCACCAAGGTGACGGTCTTGATGAGCAGAGTCCACTTGCCCAGGTAGCCCCTGATAATAAAGCCGCTCAAAATGGTCTTTATCTGAAACAGAGGATGGAGAAGGAGGCGAGAATCAGCTGCTCCAACGCCATGGCTAGAAACATAACTAACTCCTCAGAAACGCATTTTTAAAGCTTAGATGCACTAGATCATATGCAAAACCCAGACTAAACCCAGTAGTCATCCAGTTGATTTCTACTCCTGGCGACCCCATGAGTGTAGAGTAGAACTGTGCTATGTAGGGTTTTCTATGGCTGATTTTTCAGAAACAGATCACCAGGCCTTTCTTTCGAGGCACCTCTGGGTAGATTCAAGCCACCAACCTTTTGGTTAGCAGGGAGCGCATTAACTGCTTCAGGAGAGGCTGTTTTAATTTATTTTGCTATAATTTTATACCATATTATGTTAACAGAATTTTTATTTTCTTCATATATAATTTTATGTTTTATTAACAGAAATCTTTAAAAGATCCAATGAGTGGTAAACCTTAAGAATTCCTAGCATACTAAGACATCATAACGAGGACTGAAGAAGTAATTACCAAGGTCTCGTTTCATTTATGGCATTTTATTCTGTTCATGTTACCCTTTGTTGTGCTGAGAAAAGACATATACCTTTTAACTGTTAACGTTTGACTATTGAAAGATGTCCAATATAAAGAGATGGAGAGCAAATCGAGCAAAATGTCAATTAAATACTTTAGGTCAGGGGTCGGCAAACTACAGTCCAGATGCCAAACGCAACCATTTTCATCTCAGGAGTTATTGATGGAAATCTGCATCTTAATTCAAGGAGAGAAAGAGATAAAGCCCGACACACAGAGAGTGAGCGTGTGTCTGTGTGTGCGTGTTCTGATTCCCAGAACGCAACGACAACCTTCCTGTAAGAACATGATGCAGGCTTCTAGTTATACTTGTTATTGTTAGCTGCTGTCAAGTTGGCCCCAACTCATGGTGATCCCATGTATGACAGAATGAAATGTTGCCCAGTCCTGCACCATATTCATGATCGTTGGCATGTGTGAGTCCAGTTGGACAATATTCTGTTGTGATCCATAAGGTTTTCATTGGCTAATTTTCAGAAGTAGATCACCAGGCCTTTCTTCCTAGTCTTAGTCTGGAAGTTCCTCTGAAACCTGTCCACCATGGGTGACCCTGCTGATATCTAAAATACTGGTGGCATAGCTTCCAGTATCACAGCAACACGCAAGCCACCACAGTACGACACACAGACAGGTTGTGGTTCTAGCTATACAGCCAGATGGTATTTCTTTAGCCTTTAACTAACAGCAGAAAAACAAGCGGTGGTTAAACTAGACTTTAACTAGTGGTAGTTAGCCTAATTGAACCTGTGCTCTGGGGAGCTCAGATCCCTTTATTTAAGGAATGTTTTATTATGCCTGCCACAATCCTGCCCTTTTTTGTTGCCTTGAATAAAATTATCTATAATTTTTTGTCAGTTAGTTAATGTGGATGGAGACCCCAGGGTACAGCTGAAAAGCATAATACCATTTAGAAAATTACAAGCATCTAAATTACCCGAGTCTTTGCCAGCCGTGACATGTGGTGAATAGAACAATGTAATAGGTATTTTGTAATTCTCTAAAATGATTTTATAAAATTGTCATGACCAAATTAGGGGCTGGGAAGGCAAATTCATTCCCAGTAGATGCCAAAATCCAATCACTTGCTTTAATTTGAATTAATAGAGACTGGCCCGGCAGGGCTTTAACTAGATGTACTGCAGCAGATTGGTGACTTCGTGGTGTTAACTTTAATACCAGAATCTTCTCAGAGAAGTAGAATATTTGTAAGATCATTAATGTTGTGTAACATCAACTCCAAGAGTGTTCTAAGGGACATGACTTCTCCCGCAGTTGACAGCGGTTCCACTGATCACAAACACAAGCAGAAAGAAGACGCCGTGGCCCAGCTCAGCTCCAAATTCCAAAGTCCAAGAAACTGACTGTTCGCTTCTAAATGTGCTTTATATCAAGAAAACCCATCGCTGTCGAGTTGATTCCGACTCATAGCGACCCTGTATCAAGAAGCACTGTACAAATCGGGAAAGATTATTCCTTTAGCTTTTCCCAGGCATCATTTTTTGGTCCTCTTTAACTCTTTGTGCTCTGCATTAGGGAAAGAACCTTAGAGAGGAGAGGGTCTGGTTTTTCCAGTCCCTCTCCTCCCTGTGGAATTCTCTGCAAGTAAACTTTCTCACATGCAAATGTACAGTTGGAAGAAAAGAACCTCAATAGTACTTTTTTTTTTTTTTAGAGCCGCTGGGATTCAGGCTAATTCTTTCATCTTCCATCTCTTCGTGGCGGTGTTTTCTGTTAGACAGTGTGTCTCGTGCCAGATAACCAAATGTAGTGATAAACAGCTTCCAGTTGTTGAGATTCTTCGTGTATTTAGTCTTTGATCTTTTCATTTAGGGACCTTGTTACACTCTCCTTTTGGTTTTGATGACAAATCTCCTTCCTGCCTTGGATCTCTCTTTATCCCAGTGGCAAGATGCCATACCAACCATTTCATTTCAAAGATACCTATGCAAGTTTCCCTAGCTTTGTTCTTCCAATCTAGCAAGATGCAGGCAAGTGTTCTTTTATTTATTAGCATCACCTTCCAACTTTAAGACCATGCCTTCCATCTTCTTAGAAAAAAAGAATTCCATAGTGTCATTTGCTCAGTTGACTGTCCAGTACTTCGATCAATTATTTTTCAACAACGTGGTGGCTTTGCCTAAGTTTTGCTAATTTTTCCATTAGCACATGCATCAGGTAGCTTTAGCAACAGAACAAACCACCACCCCAAATGCAGCGGCGATAGTCGATTCTCATTCTTTGTGGTAGTTATCTCCTAGAAGTTCCCTCAAATACCGAACGAGCCTTGTTCACCTTCACTGCTGCTCTGTGCGTACACATATCTGTGAATGACCGTGAGTGTTTTCAGTGAATAGGTGAATTCGAGAATATGGAATCCGTCAATACTGAGGATGAGCTGTATTTAGTTAGTGCGTCATTCTGCAAGTCGGCAGTTTGGGCCGGGATCAGCTGGGTGGGTGGTCCTTCTAGTTTGGGTGGGGCTTGGCTGTTCCTGCCTGGGCTTGTTCACACATCTGGAGACCATGGATGATGTGGCTGGGATCACCCATCCCCCAGCAGGCTAGCCTGGGCTTCTTCACAAGGTGGTCTCAGGCTCCAAGAGCAGCAAGAGAACAAGCCCCCATGCACAGAAGCCTGCCACATTGCTGAGCCCAGGTCAGTGCTGGAGGGCACTCCCAAAGGGCTGGGCACCAGCAGCCAAGGGGTCCCCAGTCACATCTGCATCCTCACAGGGAGCCTCTCTATGGCCTCTGGGCATTGCTGAAGCACCAACGTGAAAGGGGAACTGAACTGCCTCCATGATAGATAATATGAGAACTTCAAAAATTATATCTGCCAAAAAATGTTCCCTGTCTGGGCTTTCTGGGAATTAGCGCAATTACTGTCATTCCAGTGGGTAGATCCTCCCAGGTTGAAAAGTGAGTTTCAGGCATTCCCCTTGATCAGTGAGGTCACTTTGCTCACACTCTGGTTACATGGTGGTGCTGAAAACCGGGAACGAGAACTCAGAGCACACAGGGCCACGCCTGCAGAGCACCCACTGCACGGGGAAGCCCGTGTTTTCAAGGTTTCCATTACCTTGTCACTACAAGCGCAAAGCGTGGCAAGGGAGCGGAATCATCAGGAAACTTTCTCCGTACCCAATCCCCCTCCGGTCTTTCTTCACATGACATCCCAGATGCACTGACAAGTTAGTCCTGAGCCACCTGATGTGCGTGGTTAATGAACTGCGATCCCACAGGCTTCAAGACTTGCCTGATTTGCAAAGACAAGGCTTTCATCATCTGAGGAGCAACAGAGCACAGCAGTTAAGATTCCAAAGCCTGAAGCCAGACTGCTGGGTTCAACTCCCAGCATACTGGCTTGGTGACCTTGGGCAGGTGATTTAACCTCTCCAAGCTTCAGTTACCTCACCTAGCAAATGGAGAATAACAGTACTGACCTCATCGGCTCGACTGCTAACTGAAACGTTAGAGGTTCAAGTCCACCCAGAGATGCTCAGAAGAAAGGCCTGGCAATCTACTTCTGAAAAGTCAGCCACTGAAAACCCTGTGGAGTCCAGTTCTACTCTGACACACATGGGGTCGCCATGAGTGGGAATCAACGGCAACTGGTTTGGTTTTTTATGTTAAATGCTTGGAACTGTGCTTAGCACATAGTGCTACTCTTTGTATTGGTACAAAAGACAATCAGCCACACTCACCTCTGGTATACCTGAGCCACAGGCGTAGGGCGCAAATACCCGCACCAGGGAGACGGCCAAAAATGCAAACAGCAACGCCCACAGGATGTACATTAAGTAATTCAGAATGTAAGCACTGGCACCCTACACAGGAGACACAACACAAGAACACGTGAGCCCTCGCAGGCCTGCGCAACATACCCAGCCCTCTCCTCCCCTGTGAGAAGAGACGCCTGGACGGGACTGGGCAGGTTCTGTCCCCTCCCGGAGAAACATGAAGGCTGCTGGTGGCATTATCAGCTGTTGCTATTGCTACAGGCAGCACACACAAACACAGCGCCGGATGTTTTATTTCTCTAGGAGCTGTTTACACAGCCATGATGGAAACCGTGAATACACTGGGTTTTAATCGCCACTTGCACAAGAGTTAATGAAAGGCGTGACACGGAAAAGCCTGCCTTCAAGACCCTGGAGGATTTGTTTTGTCTTGTCTGCAGCGGATGGGTCTCTCTTAGCTTTCGTGAAGCCCACATCCCGGCCACAGCAAGCGCCCGCACCGCCAGTGATAAAGTGTCAGAACTGTATTTTAGAGTACTGCCACTCCAAGTGGGGTCCCGGCCCCGCAGCCTCAGCGTCACCTGGGAGCTTGTGAGAGATGCGATTCTCAGGCCCCACCCCCGACCTGCAGAATCAGGAACTCTGGAGGTGGGGTCTGGCAAAATGGGTTTGCACAAGCCCTCCAGGGGATTCTGATGCAGGTAGCATTTGAGAGGCACTAGTAGAGGGAAAAAACTCCCATCAGCTCCTTCAGAATAATTTACTGGACCATGTAACCCAAATTATCTGCTGTGTGGAGAATGTTTTCTGGACCGAACCCACAGTCTGTGGTCTTTGACCTGGTCTGCGGGGGAGACTACATTTCTCTGGGCCTCAGCTTCTTGCTGCCATCTGGATGACGCAGTGAGGGGGGAGGAAAGAGAGGTCACTTACGAGGCAGGCCATGGCCACATGTGTGTGCCTGTGAAAATGCACAAGCCCAGTCCAGGAGACTGCTCTGGCCTTTCCAAGCACATATATTCACACCCTACGTGTTGAGAAATCGGACTGAGGGATAGCTTTCACCCACTTCAAAATGGACTTTTTTGGAGACTAAAAATAACTTCTCACTCTTGCTAACAGTAATTCTTTGAACCAGAGTATAAATCTTAAAAACGGCTGAAAAGATAGACGGCCATATTGCTGCAAAACACAGATTGCTAGGAGGAGCAAAGAAAGAAAACATGGCGCCCGGCCAATCCCGCCTGCCCACTCTCCCATCAACTCGAGGAGAGAATTTATTTTTGGAAGTAATGGAGAGCACTGAGAACATGTGAGGTTTCAAGCTCTCTGTCTACTTCAGAGATTTGAAGGAATTAATTTTTAATTCCACTGAGAAAGAGGTTTAGCAAGATGGCAAAGGGTATTCCAAATGTCTTCAGCTATAGTAAGTCAATCGGGCAAAAAAAAAAAAAAAGTGGGGGAGGGAGATGTAGTAATAGTCAATATATCTTCCAAGAACAGTTCTAGCCGGAACAGCCCTCACATTACCCCTAATACGAATCCTGGCCACCTACCTCCCTCTCACCTGGGTTTCTGATTGCTCAGTGGCTCATAGTCACTATGGTCGCAACTGAATTTGATTAGAAATCAACTCTTTTCCAACAAATATTGTATGAGACCACTATTATAAGAACTAAAGAAAAGGTTTAAACACAGAAGAAAACATTCTTTGATGGTTACGAGGTGGGGAGGGAGGGAGAGGGGTATTCACTAGCTAGACAGTAGACAAGAATTATCTTAGGTGAAGGGAAGGACAACACACACTACAGGGGAAGTCAGCACAACTGGACTAAACCAAAGCTAAGAAGTTTCCTGAATACAATCAAATACTTTGAGGGACAGAATAGCAGGGGCGGGCGTCTGGGGACCATGCTTTCAGGGGACATCTAGGTCAATTGGCATAACAAAGCTTAATTAAGAAAATGTTCTGCATCCTACTTTAGCGAGTGGCATTTGGGGTCTTAAAAGCTAGCAAGCGGCCATCTAAGATGCATCA